CCGACTTCAAGAGGGCTCCAGTAGCTTCCTTGACGACGGAGTCCGTCCTGGTTATTTCTTCCTTATAGTATATTACAGGAGACCCACTTCCTATCTTAAACGATGAGCGACTTATAACTTGGTGCCTGGCCTGGATTATAAGGGGAAATGAGGGTGGTCATGTGCCTCATGAAGTCAAAGTGAGAGCTCGTCGGGGAGAAAACAGCCATGTTCAACGACCTAAGGTTCGACGATTGAGTGGCTTTAGCCGGTAGTCGACGCTTATTCTCCGGTGATGAGTCATCTTCCACGGTGAACTGAACAGGTGTGAACGGTTCAAACCCAAACCTGTCTAATATTCAGTTACTTCTGCCAAACGAGGTTTTTTAGATGACACCTTTTATTGGCCTAACGTTTCGACCTTCTCGTCCCGGAGACCGGAACAAGAGGGGGCACTTCCTTATAAGTCTCCCTGTCTCGTTGCATGTTGTGGCTATAGCGGATATAGCTGATATAACGGCAACACTGAAATAGCTGATGTGGAAATACGGAAATGCAGGGCACTCCTTAGCCGGAGTCACTAGAATAGCAAATATTTTCCAGCACTCTCCTCGCCGCTTTCTCGAATTAACCGATCGACTTCTCTAGTCGCTAAGTTTGTTCAAGGTCCTCGCTTCTGAAGACAAATGAAATTGCGAGAACCACTTTGCAACCTCACTTCTGCAGTAGGAAACGGCTGTAAACAAAGAATACAGCTTTCTTCAGCTCGTGCCATGTAGATGCCTTTAATTTCGTGGCAGTGACACCTGTGTGTTGCCTCTTACCTTCTGAGCTACTTCTCTCCGTAGGAGTTACTTTGCTGATTTCAGACGCCTTTGCTTTGCGCTGGTGATAGGAGCTACTGATTTTCCTAATGTAGTGAATTTTCGACTAAAAGTTGAAGTGTTTAAAAGGAAGTGCCAGATATTAAGCACACATTATCTACTTTTGTGGCGGTGTTCGAGGCAGTGGTGCTTCGGCGGTTCTGTTCGGTCTACAACTTTGATGTTGGGGAACGATTGCTCTGCATGTCAAAAATGACTGGTATTAGGTAAGATTAGGCTCTTTCATCATAGGCGCTTGAACTGCATGCGCATAGATAAAAGAACACCTGAGGTCACAGTTGCATTTCGGCCAAGTCCTCAGTGAAAGCTATTTGCAGTGGTGCTGTCAACGTCCCACTCTCGTCAACATCTACGATAAATCTATTTTGTAATGTCACTTTATTTGCAGTGTGAGATGCATTATTAAGATCGAGACCTTTGCAAAATCGAGCGAGGTTCCCGTCATTCATTTATGCTACAGTAGTCAGTGCTCACTATCGGTGGTACTCTGTAACGTAGCAATCTGTGTTTATAACATGAATCCAGTTATTACCAAGCACAGGCTCAAAATGTATCGTCCCAGACTCCTCTTCTGCGAAATTGCTGAAAATAAGAGAGCCATTCATTCTTGATTCTTGAGGGCTCATATATCACCACTCTTACATTCTTCACCGGAATGGGACAAATGCTTTGGCAACTTAGTTTTCGTCTATATAAGTTCCATTTTTCGTAGATCCATATTTCATAAGTGTCGCTGGACTCTGAATGGAAGAGTGCGCAGCGTTTCCATGTTGATCAGCGCCTCGGTGTTTCAATACTTGCCAGAAGAGGAATGGTTGTGATGGAAACGCTTCTAGACTTCTGCATGGAAATGTGAGCAATGTAGTGAAGGGAACCCTGATCGAGCTGAAATTAATCCTCGGATTGAAGGAATTCCTCCAGTTCTCCAATCCCAAGTCATGTGTGAACGATACTGTGCTCTATGAAAGGTCGAAAACTTACGTCAACCCAAGATTTCCTCGTTCTGAACGGAAGACGGCTACGCGGCGTGTGCCATAGAGAGATTAATCAGCACCTCTATCAATTCTTTCCACAAGTGGCATAGGTGTGTAGGGAAAGCTTTCGAGATTTCTGGATGAAAATGTGAGCAGTGTAGTGGAGGGAGATTAATGATCGAGCTGCAGTAAATTCTCGGACCGAAATCAGCGACGCGATTGTTTTCAGTATAGTAGACGTGTGGAAAATTTGCGGAAAAGAATCCTCCCAGTTTTCCAATCCATGTATGTCCGCGTTCCAAGTTATGCGTGAACGATGTTGTGCTTCATGAAAGATCGAAAACTTACATCAACCCAAGATTTTTCTCGTTCTCAATGGAAGACGATTTGCTTTGGGCGCTGAAGAGGTATGCCAAGTAGAGTATCGAACCGTGTTGCTGATGTACATGGCATAAAATCTTCAAGCACACTTGATGGCATGTCTCTAAAATTACATTAGCTAAAGTTGTATCTTATTTCTATTTTTACATGAACGAAATTAGTTCTTTATTGATTTTGTGGCACTAATAGCTGCCGCAATGTTGAAAGTTAAGAGAATTAAATCAAGCCCCAGATTAAGAAGTAATTAGACAAACAGATAAAACAACAACATGCACATACACAACGCGTCACATAACACATTCAACATTTTAAACCATTCTATCATAGTCGCTTTCTCGATAATGTCCCATAGGCCACATAGCCCGAGTTGGAGCTGGGGAAATGAAAATGAAAAAGACCAACGGCCGGCATAAGCAATGAAATATATGGCACGGTCTAGATAGAATGAGGTGAGCAAAGAAGAAGGGCATTTGGACAGAAGGGCATTCCCAAGTGGCTTCAAACGGGCCAAGTTCATTGATTGATCGCCCCAGTAACAGCGCGTTTAGACTCCGCGATCGTGCGATCGAGCTCGCGCGAGTTGGATTGCGCGATTGGAATGAATGAAATTAAATAGGGCCGCGTTCATACTTGTCATGTTTAATGTTCCTGTTCTTTCTCTTCTTTTTTACTTCTTCCTTTCCTTGAGTTTTGAAAAACGTTTCGTTGATGAGTTATGTTTCTCTTTATTTCCCTTTCGAACCTTTTTTCAGATTTGTATTCTTCTCCTTTGTGAATGCTTGTTTCTTTTCAACAGGGAAGTTCATCGAAATGACTATTGCTTTTATTTCAACTTAGGTAAATTTTTCTTATTTTGTAGGAAACTTTCTCTTCATTTCGTATTTTTTCAGATCGTGGCTACCTTAGTTTTGAGAAACGTTTCAGGCTTGCTTTCAATGAGAATTGTTTTTTATTTCCCTTTCAATCTTCTTTTCAGATTCGGTATTGCGCAACCTCTTTTGCGGATGCTTGTTTTTTTTTTCGACGAGAAAGTTCATCGAGGCAACTCTTGTCCTCAAACTGAAATATGGATGTTCTGGTTTATGTGTGAGAGGGTTAATAATGTCAGATATATTCCCATATGTTTTTATGTTATCATTGTTTCCAAATGGAAATGCCGTGACTAATAGCTTAATCCAGAAAGATTCTTTATTCTGCAAAATTGTTTTATCCTCATTTTCTTGGAGATTGTCTAGTATTGTGAAGGAAAAAAGTTTCTTACGGCATTTTTCATTGAAATGTTTGTATATGTACTTATGAGAATCGTTTTTATTTATATGGTATGTGTGTTCGTTTATTCTATCTTTCAGTCTTCTTGTAGTTAAGCCTACATATTGTTGTCCGCACTCTAAGCAGTTAAAGACAATATAATATACGTTTTTTACTGCAACATTTGCTTGATTTCCAGGTAAAAGTGGTTAATTTTCAAATTGTACGCTGTTGTGAGAATTAAGTATATAGAATATGATCATAACTTTGTCTGTCGTATATAATTAAACCTTTATACAATCTGTATTACATATAGTATCTCACATGAAGCGAGTATACCTGAAAATTAGATTCCAGGTTGTAATAATGAGTATTTCGTTTACTTTTGCATTTGTGAAAAGTCTGTTCAACATAATACTGTGTTGCCTAGCTTATAATTGTGTGTAATGATCCGTAATGGAGTAATGTGAGCGGGCCCAAGCGCCACCATACTAGGGGGAAGTTTTGAAGAATTGGTCTAAGCACTTTGCAAGCCTATTACTAGCTTTCGAGACTTGTATGATAGGATCTTTTATTCGGTAGAAAAAAAGGGTTTGTAGAACCCTTTGAGGCGTGGTAACTTACCGCCTAGTGCTAGAATATCCCACCTTGCTTAACCTACTCAATAAGATGTCCCTATTCTAAAGCGGGTATGGGCCCCGTGTTTAAGGAATGGTTGAAGGATTTGTGTCTTTAAATGAAAGAGGCGAGAAAGAAAAAAGAAAACGGATAATGAATTGTCAAGGTTCAATTTCTGGAAAGGAAAGTGTCAACGTAATAGTTCAAATTTGAGTCTATATAGCTTTTTATATAATACTGTTTCTGATCTAAGTAGATGAAGAATTACTTATATTATTGAGTAAATTGGGCAAAGTAACACGTGTGAATATTGTATAACACTTTGGTGTTCTGGTACTAATTCGTTTTTTATAATGATATGAATTGTATCTAAGTAAGTGAATATTATTAGTATTAAGTATTATTTTTTAGGATGCAACTAATGCGAAGCGCATGCAGAATTTTCACACTCCAAGAGAATGTCAGAACAAGAAAGTACTACTCGAGTGGGTCAGAATCACAGGTTTGGAGAACAAAAACAAGTGGCGTTTGGATCGATTGCTAGCTCACTTCGCTCATTCCATTTTAGGGTATGTTAACGGTATGATTATTAATTGTATGTCTACTTATTAATATTGTATGAGTGCTTCTTATTATTTATGGATTTTTGAAAATTTTAGCTATTCTGAATCAAAACTGCAGCTTTCACTTGGCCAGTAATCGCAGGATTACATCGTGGTATCCCAGCTATACGTGTATGTCTTGATTTGAAATAGTGTGTTTAATTAGATGGGAGACTTAGAAATTATTCAGGCAAAGGTTTCATATGATTTTTGGCGCTATTTTATGAGTGAGGGCAGGAAAAAATTATCACAGTATAACAAGGAAAAAGGATCGAAAATAGCTGTGCTAAAAGAATTGACCCTTAAAAACACCGATGAGAACAATCTGGGGTAATAACTTTACTTATTTATGAAAACATGCGTAGTGGCATGTATAGTCTTCGTATTTAGATTGTCTACTGCGCATCGCACAGGAGTGTCGGCGTTCGCTTTACTTGAGTAAAAACATTGCACCGCCAGATATGTCTGTAAAGAAAGGATACATATATATAGGGAAAAACTTGGTTAGTGATTTTTTTTGAAAGATTTCCCTTTCAGTCAATGAAATCTGCATTAGCAGTAGTAAAGCTTGGTATCTCTTTGCCTGACTGGAAAGGCATCCCAGTTGAAGAACTTCTAAGCGACCATGAAAGAGCAATGCTCGTTGTGAGTAACTAATTTTATACATTTATTTATAAATACATATATATGAATAACATTTGGTGAATATTTGGTATTACTTAATTTTTAACGGAATGGTGAACGTAAGCCTGAGTGCTGTATGAAATTGCCTCAACTTGAATGTGTTACCGAAGTGAGTGATTTTATTATTAGTAGTGTTGTTTGAGTTCCTTTTGTGAATGTAGAAGTTGACTGTCAAATTATTTAGACTGACATGGTATTCGATAATTGTGAGGATTCTACTCAGTTATCTAACGATGTGAGTTAATTTTAGTGAGTATTAAATAACTTATTACCAATAGAGTTAATATTAGGTCATCCCATTCAAAGTGGCCGATGGTTTTTTTGAATAAAACAAAGAGGAGAATAGATAGAAAAGTGATATTTTAGCTTTAGGATGAGTAAATCCCTCCTTCACCAATGACCCGCTCCCAGTGCCCCGAGGGCCTTTGGACCTCTGGTACCTTCGATTTTTCAACAAGTGTGAGTAAATTGCTGTTGTTGCCAATTTCGGCAAATGACAAAACATTGTAGCGTCTGCCGTCGAAGAGTACTCTCTACTGAATAGAACAGTTGTAATCGCATGGCTTTATGACGGGCGAATGGGACGATTGAACTCAGGTCTCAGTATTGTTTGTGTCCCAGCACTGATCTACAATACAGTTACTCGGGGGTCTGGGTACTAGACGAGCAATCGGGCGACGTGGCCTAGTAAGTTGTGTGGTAGCTATCCCATGTTGTCGATCTGATGCCGAGAACCAGGACAATATCGCACGCCAAACAGTGACGGATTTGTCCTCTGTATAGAGCCGCTTGAAAGCCACAGTGTGGGAATCCTTTGCTATGATGATCATCCACTTGCGCCCACGTAACTCTTCATGGTAGAACTCGGGCGGCTTCTCATCTGCATTCATAGAAAATTGACGATTGTGAGTTTCGACTCGAGGTCCGAGACCACCCATATTTCATCTAGGGCCGGGTGCGTTTTCACAGTTGTGAGTGACATCTCATGCTGAGAACATTACTGCTGGAGGTATAGAATCGGTACTGCGTTCGTGCTTCTATAAGAAAATTGGGTACCCATGCGCACCCTCTTGACCATCCTCCGTTTATCGGACATAACTCGGGCAGCAGTTGCAGCTGGGATGTCAGACTCGCGGGGAAGCTCGACAAGGGTCCAGGCTCTGTGATCAGATATTCAGTGCCTAACTTCATCCCACAGAGTAGCGCAGCCGTTTTTTGGCGGCAGGATGAATATTATGGGACCACCCACGACAACAAATTTTTTTCCTTTCTTCCTTGTACGGGCTCCTGAACCAGATCTTCCACCGTGTGTTTTCGAGAACACCCTTACACACAACTATGGTCCGGCGCAGGTCAAATTTGTGCAGCGCACTTTCCCTTTTTATGACGTCTGATTTGAAAAACCGGCGCCGATTTTCACCACTCGGGCTTCTCTTCAATTTCTCGAGAACTTCTTCAGAGGCTAGGTTCGCCAAATTTCACAGATACACAGCTTAAGGTACTAGCTTCCAAATGGTATAGTAGCCCGCTGCTCTATCCCCTTTGCTTTTCTGCCATTCCTCTATATGTGTCGGCCACTTTGAATGGGATGACCTAATATACAGGAGAGTGTTATTAGTTTGGTTACTCATTCTAGAATTGCAGAACAACATCTAAATAGCGCTGGAATTAATTCCCGGGTTGAAAAATTCAGTGAACCAAGAGGATACAGGTCAATTGGCATACGAGATTTATCCTCGGGTGCATCATTGTATGTATTGCTAATTGCTGAATTCTGATTATGGTGACTTGCTGATACTTGTATTAAATCATTATGGATGAATTCTCTTGTATTTTTATCTATATTTATGTGGAATTGCTGTGTCTATTCAAGATAAAGTAATTGTGTGCTTAATTTGTTAAAGAATCAGTTATTAGAGTTTACGTCAGTTTGACGTATGGCGACCATTGGTCGGAAACGAAGAGGACGTCTATACGACGTAAGTCGACCATTGGTCGGTACGAAGAGTACGTCTGCAAGTCTGCAAGACGTTTAACGACCTTTGGTCGAAGGCTGAATGAGTCACTGTATAATGATCTATAGTCTTAAGTATATTTATGGAAATATTAATGATGGAAATATTAATGATAGGGAAGTGAGCTATTTTCTTAAAATTATTTGTATGTCAGGATGATGTCAGCTTTGAATTGAGGAGAGAATTATGCTAGAGTTATTAAAGTTTTTGGTATTAAGTTAGTGAGACCCTTAATAGGTACTAACACCACACAGCGTCGGGTTTCCCTCGAGCTGCTGTATGATGAAAGTGTGTCTAATATATTACAGTAAGTTATGGTAGCATTTAGATTTATTCTATAAAACATTTGGTTAACCATAAGCTTGGTTATTAATCATTATTACACGGGGTCAACATAAGGAGATAGTTTGGTTTCCGTTTCGCACGTGCCCTTAGACGGAAACCAAACGAGTTGTATATCCTTCTTCTGTGCTCGTCAGTAAGGAAAGAAGGAGCAATGAGTTTGTATGGTAATAATTATTATGATGATGATATATGACAATTGATGACTTTGTTTGGTGACTTATCCTGTAGCTTCTTTCATGAGGATGGCTACTCTTCGTAGAAACATGGTGGAATAAAATGGAAAATGAACTCGTAGGCTATGAACTTGATAATACTTGACTAGTTAGATAAATATCATTCTTGCTGTGTATGATAGAATCAATTTTCATTTTCCTCATTGTGAGGCGTCGACCACAGAAGGTATGGCTAGCAGCCTCAGTTCGGTAGTGGAGGCTAAGTCTGGCGCGGGAGCTCTTGATGTATAGGTAGAAGAATTAATATAAGAGGCTAGCGTTATGTTGAGTTTGTTTATTTACATTTTTTATTGAGGATTTAATTTTGAACTTTTGTCCCCTACACGCGTCATTTAAATGACCGAATTTATAGTGAAACTTTTCAAGTAATGAAAGGTGATTGTTTTAAATTACTGTGTTTTTGCAAAGAATTAGCTTGGGTTTGTATTCTAAGACTGTTATTGTTTTATATTGTTTATACTGATGTGCAGGCATGGCCTGTTTTGTCTTTGCTCCGGGTGTCTAATATCTGTCCGGAGATTCTTTTACTTCTTGTTTTTTGTTACTAGTTTTGCCGCGTGTACATTTGATCATTGAAGCTAAAGTTCTTTGTGTATGTTTGTTAATTTGTAAATTAAAAATTCTTGTAATGTTATCAGAAGGGTCTTTTTTGATTTAGACATTTCATAAGACTACTTATGAATATATTTGTGTTGTATCCTGATTCAATGAGTTGCTTAAGTGTGTATTCTAATCTATCTATAAAATCTTTTTTGTTGGTGCATGTACGTGTTGTTCTTAGAATTTCTGCATATATAGTATTAAATTTTATGTGGTCAACGCAAATATTTGTATTGTAGTTTGGAAATTTTTTAATAGAGAAGTTGAAGCTGTCTCTGTTTATTGTACATTTTTGTACTGATTTTGTCATTATGAATAGTTATTTCTAAGTCTAGATAATTACAACTGTAATCATTGCTATTCGTGACTTCAAGCTTGAGGATGTCATGGTAGATTTCTTTAAGTTTGTTTATAATATTTGTTGTACTGTCATTATGTATTATTAGAATGTCATCCATATATCTATATGGTTTGATTTCTAGTTCATTGGAGTTGTAATGATTAATGGAATAGATGTGTTCAAAGTAGGACAGTGTCAGTGTGCTAAATGGGCTAACATTACTTCCTTGTGGTACTCCTGTTTTCTGTATAAACAAGTATTCTGAAAACCTGCAATAACTGTTTTTCAGTAAATAGTGTAGTAAGAATATTATGTCTATGATAGAGTAGTAATTGTAGTTCTTGAATGTTGTGTTGTTTGTATAGAAGATTTTATATCCATTGCTAGCTATGTATTTTTTATTGCTGTTTTTGTAACAAATTTTGAGTATTTCTTTAATGTTGTGTAATATATGTGTATGTGGAAGGTTAGTAAACATATTAGTAAAATCTGCTGAAAAAAGTTTCATGTTTTTCAAATTTAAATTTTGTAGTTGTTGACTTATGTTTATGTTGTTGATTGCCCAATAGCCTATGAATTGGTTGTTTCTGCTTTTTATACAATTATTGTAGTTCAAGAAATGATTCCTTATGAATGTTAACAGTTTTGTAAGTGTCATAGATAGAGGTTTTAGGCTACTAGTTTTGGCTCCTGTGATGTATCTAAATTTTATAGGAGACTTGTGTAGTTTTGGAATTGCATATATTAATGGTATATTCATATTGACTGTATTCTTGATGTTGTTATTATCATTAAATTTTTTATGTTTATTAATTATGAATGCTCTAATCAAAACCCTTCTAAGTAACATCACAAATTTAATTTACAACTAAAACATACAACAAAGAAATTTAGCTCAATGAATACACATGTACCGGGGAAAAAATAAAAAAATAAAATAAAAATAGAAAATATAAAAAAGCAAGAAGTAAAAAAAGAGAATTAGACTCGAGAAAGAAGAAAAAAGATGCCCACATAAGTAAACAAAAAACAATAAAACGTTAGAATACAACCCAAGCTAATTCTTTGAAACAAAAGTAATTAAAAAATCACTTTCATTACTGAAAAGTACTACAAACTTTATTTAAATGACGTAGATAAAAAGTTCCAATAGATCCTAATAGAATAATGTAAATTAAACAAACAACAAAAGACGAGGAGCTTACCATCAGTGTAACCGACCGATGCAGCAGTAGCCGATAAAAATGAAAATGAACTCAAACAACACAAGAATGATATTATCTAATATCAAGTATTATCAAGTTAAGCCACGAGTTCATTTCATTTATTCACATGTTTCTACGAAGAGTAGCCATCCTCATGAAAGAAGCTACAGGATAGGAGAAGGATAACAAGACACACTTAATGTAAGTCCAGAGTTTTGTAAAGTTCAAATAGGTAAATAATTATAATGATAAGACACGTTAATAATATTAAATTTTAAAATAAAAATTCCCTTTATTTTTTCTTTGTAAAGAACTGATCCGCAAATGTTCCTTTCTTCATTTTGCAACAAAACAAACGAAAACTAATCGAAACTTTGCACTTTCATAATATAACTTGAATCACCAATAAGATAATAATCCAACTGTTTTTATAACAAATAGAGTTAGTTACAGTCATACAAAGTCATAAATTGTCCATATATCATGGCATCAATACCATAATTATTACCATATAAACTCATTGTTCCTTCTTTCCCTTACTGACGAGCACAGAAGAAGGATATACAACTCGTTTGGTTTCCGTCTAAGGGCACGTGCGAAACGGAAACCAAACTATCTCCTTATGTTGACCCCGTGTAATAATGATTAATAACCAAGCTTATGGTTAACCAAATGTTTTATAGAATAAATCTAAATGCTACCATAACTTACTGTAATATATTTAAACTCGAATTAAGATAAATTTCTCTTATTTCGTATTTTTTTAGACTCGTGGTTGCCCAAGTTTTTAAAATGGTTCCGTTAGGAATATTTCCTTTTCACACGTATTTTCAGATTTGGATCTTCGCAACCCCTTTTGTGATAGCTTGTTTTATGGAGGAAGGTTCATCGAGGTAACTGTTACTCTTAGTTAACCGTTTCCAAATTTCGTATGGCGCAGTCTTTGGATGGCGGGAGGCGCCCGGGTTCTGCCATGTGCACAAGTTATTCACTACGTGCTTTTGTTGTTGTGTTTTTGAATATGTGGGGAACACAAATAAAGATCTCTTTGTGCATTTTGTATTTTTGTAGCATTATCAGGAGGAAATTAAACATTGAACGCTGCGTGAATTGTCGGCAATACACGCGCATACTAACGTTTCTCGCGTTTGTGTATTGCCCATTCACGTTTTGTGGATCGGTTTTTTCGTGGATAAGAGTGCGACTTGAACCATTCTCACCGTGTATATGTTCAGTGAGCTTTGCTTATGCTTAGTTCATGATGGCGTGAAACAAGCTGCCCATTGGCCCATTGGAGTAATTCATTAATATTATTACAAAATAACAGTCAGTGGCGTGGTAGTTGCACTCTTATCCAC